TTTCTTCCTCCCCCCCCTTTTTTTCCTTCCTTCCCCACCACCCCCCCCCTCCCCCACCCCCCCCCCCCCCCCCCCCCCCCCCCCCCTGGACAGCAGTGATGAGTAACCACAGGGCCCCTCTCCTGGATAAGGGACCTCTATTGGAGGGCACCAATGTATGATATATGAACATTAGGTCCATTTAGACGTACTCCTATTAAGAAAGCCACTTAACAGAGTTCATAGAGTCAGAAGAAGTTAAGGAATGAGGCAGGGTTTCTAAAACAGAAGGGAATATCCCTAATCTATTTTAATCTCTCTGACACTGAGTCATCGCTGACAGTTCTCACAGTTTTGCAAAGAGAAATGGAGGCTGAGAAGGTCTGAATATAAGACGAGAGGATGAAGATCAGACAGTTGGATCCACTGGTCTAACCATTATTAATGGGTGGGGGGGTGGAGCTGTGTTATTTTGGTCCCATGTGTAAATGATTAGAGATGCTGCAGGACCGCCACAGCTAAAGACATGATTAAGTCTGCTTGGCTCGGGAAGCCTTCAGTATTTTTTCGAATCCTTCCCCCAAATGGGTCCCTCATAATCCTCTCATCCTCGTAAATATCACATTATTGAATTTACACTGTTAGTTCATAGCCTTGAACTGGCCGAGTAATGGAAACCTGCCTAATGGCTTGCTGGGAGAAGCATTGAGGAGGTTCATTATGTGTTCGAGGTTATGTTCTCACTCTCTTAACTGTGTTTCAAAGAGAACATCATCACTGCCAGAGGGACTCCGAGCTGTGCTAATTTTCATCTTCTTTTATTTTTCAATGACCATCTCATGTGTCCTTTGATCCTGCGAGAAATCTTTTGATGTGCCGATAGAAAGCCGTAATTGTTCAAATCAATGGACATTTATCAATGTGCTAATCTCTGTGGCAACCCCCGGCTCCACCAATCACAGTGTAGCTATAATAAAGCGCTCTTCAGACAAAGACGTGGCCCTGAAGTTTACACATTTTGATTCTACCATAACAACAGGCCATGCATTAAACATTCAATTGTTTTTGGGCTTTGTCCTTCAAAGTGGCTGCTGTTCTCATTTCGTTATACTTTCCGAGTCTTTCAATGAACAACAGCTCTTATGAGATGAGGCATTCTAAGAAAAGGCTAAAGAGACGCTCGGTAATTAGATGGTTTGGTTTTGTTGCTGTTTTTCCACACAACTGACATTTTCAAAACCAGATGGTACCTGCATTGCATTATTAGTAGTGAAGGGAAATTCTGAACCTGGTTTCTCACGTTGCTCCATAATTAATACCTCTATTTATAAACACTTTTGGTTTCTACAGCACAGCTTAAATACTACAGTAGGTGGTAGAAGCCTTAAGGGGATCACAGATCAAATCTAATTAGCCGTACCTAATACATGAGGGAAATGTCTTTATATTTATCCAGCTCCTCCTAAATGCTTTTTGCCGTCAGGTTGTGATGAGTGAAAATGTCCTGAGGGGCTCATAGACAACACAACAATGCAAGGCACTACAGAGCTGTCATGGTTGTTTCCATAAATGGCTCTTTGCAGCTCATCCAGGGGAACATGTGGTGTAAGGTTTCCATAAATGTTCACTATAAATGTTCACAGATGAATAGCAACCAGAGAGCTGGATGCTTAGTCATCCATATTAATTGCCCTGTCGTTCTTTAATAAACCTGCCTGTTTCAGACAATTATTTCATTGACTTTTGCTGAACAGTCTATTTTAAACTCTACTTACTCTGTAGCGTAAACTGCCTATTAACTGATGTTGGTGCCAATTCCTCTTAACACTACCTTCCATCATTTCCTGTCCTTTTTTTATTTTTTTTAACCCGGCTTTTCCAGGAATAATGATCGACAACCTGCAACTTACAGAACAGGAAAGCTGCAGTGTGGGATCTTCACCCCCCCCCCCCCCCAATCCCTTCATCCCTTGTCTCTAAGGAGCACACAAGCAAAGGTAGAATGTTTTAAATGCTACAGCATTGGCCTTCATAGGTTATGTCTGCCTCTGTTTGAGTGAAGGGAATGGATTCAGTCAATTATTCAGTAAGTAGCATGAAGCATTCTAATGCTCGTCGGCCGCTTTCTTCAGTTAGATGTCTTTCCTTTAATGCCCTGCAGCTCTCAGTTATCTGGTGGAGAAGATGGATGATGAGACCGTTTCATGATTTAAAAAAAAGAAAAAAAATTAATTACAGCTTTGTTGTTTTTATGTAGTGTATGTTGGCGTTTCATCTCGGTGGATGACTGCTGCAACCCTCAAGTAAACTATCCCTCACACTCTGGCCTGGCCCTCGTGATTGAATTAGCCTTTGCTACAGCTATCTGCCATGCTGGCGGTCACGGGGAATTTCACCATGTGAGACAACACGATAAAAGACAGGATTTTGATTTGCATTCATGAAAGCACTTAGGAAGTTCAAAGAGAAGTTGCAGGCCATCTACACCCTCCCTGTCATATTTTGGTCTGAGGCTGTTTCGGTGGACATATTTTGAGCTGCCTTTCCTACCTGGGGTCAAAGATCGTGAAAGCACCAGTGAGTGTGGCTCATGGGATGTGGGGACGCAGCCCACAGCTTGCTTGCGCCATGTAAGCGATCAGCCAATATGAGCTTTGTGCTCCAGCTGCAGGCTGTGATTCAAAATTGTCTGGAGGCTCACCGCCAGTTACCGGAGTTATTGCCTGAAAAGAACAGTTTACTGCGGAGAGTGGTTTCGGGTAAAATTGCGGTGATGGATTGGGGTTGCAAATTGATAAGGATCTTTCAACAGGAGCTTTGATGAGTTTCCAAACTGAATAGAGATGTAGCCAATGTGTGAGCGGAGGAACGGCATTGAATTACCGGTCCAGTCTAACGTCGCACCCTCAATGCATATGGATATTGATTCATGCACGTCTAAAGGAAAGATTGATATGACATGGGAGTTTACAGCCGGGCTCTCTAGCCCATTATTTCCTCATCTTTTGACAATTCCTAGCCTTGCTGTCTGTGTAATATTTAGTCTTCTGACTTGTCAGAGAAGTGAGGTGAATTGGAAGTGTTCCGTCTGTGGGAATTAGCAGGAGACACCTACAGATTAGGTTTCAAGTGCTCTGGCTGCTCGGCAGCTTAGCAGAGTGGGATGGGAAAGGAGGAGCAATCAGGGTGACAATGTTAATGTGAACTCTGGTGTGCACGTAACACTGGCTGCAAAGACAAATGGAGCCACGCAAGGCTGTCTTAAATCATCATGTTTACACAGTTTAACAGCCCAGATCCCAGCAATTGCATTTCAATTTATGCATTTTCCAGATATTTTTTTTTTTTTCAATCTGTAAATGAAACGTGATTGTGTGAACATGTGATTGAAAGAACTGTAACCTAAAGTTTAAAGAGGGATTTAGCTCGTGGATCCATTTCCTCAGACAGGCAGGGAGACGATGAGTGTGCAGTGCGCCAGTAATTCCTCCTTCAACAACAACTGTAGAAGTGTTCTTGAGCAAGGCAGCCCTGACTACTTCACCAGAGCCAGTATTTGTTTCCTGCCCGAGCGTCAGAATGAAGGATAGCCTGTGTGTTAACTCGACTTTCTCTGGAAAGGAAGGATGAGTGATTTTCTCTCTGTCCCCATCTCTTCCCGCTGAGAGCGGTGTTCTACAGCTGGGGAGGCTCTTGCTGCGTGTGCACAGGCTCAGTGGAGAGGTTTGAGGCGGGGACCCTCCTGACCAGCACACAGGGTGGGGTTCACTGAGGAGATCCGTCCCTAGTGCGCCGCCACGCCCCCGCGCTTGGCGCTGTCCGGTGCTCTGGTGCTGAACGCTGGATACGAGCACAGCCAACTGCCTGCAGCGCTGTGGACTGCCTGAACGCAGCTGCATGGAGACCGGAGACGGATCTCCTT